GCTTCTTTGGCCGATCAGATTTTACTCTTATGTGTTGACATGAGAATCTAATCTACAACAGGGACTTCAAAATCTGCATGTGTTGGCTGATGCAACGTAACTATGTTAGCAATGGGACAGTTTTTGGTTTTGTTTCTTCCTGAGGCTAGACTTGTGATTGGTTGGTCACAGCAAGCCAAATTCGAGGACCAGACTTGGGCACCCCTGATTTAGACGAACTAACCAAACATTCGTGTTTATGGACTGTGGGAGGAAGCTGCTCGGTGACCATGCATCCCGCCACTGTGATGCCAACTGAAATGTACATCAATTCCGGAAAAAAAACAATTTTTCAGATGCTTTTTTTTTCATTGCACAACACGAACTTATTTACAGGTTAAAGACCTTGTGATTGTCAGCATGAAGATAAAATGGAGATTGTAAACACAGAAATGTAATTGTTTGAATGTAAATCCCTCCGGGCAGGAAGGGGGTGTGGGGGGGATGGGGGGAGGTCTGATTCCATTAGTAAGTTAAGTAGTGTTTGAAAAAGACATTCAAGTGTTGACCTGCGTCATGACTCACCACTAAGCTATGTGATGATGTCACACTGCCTTTGTATGGCGGGAAGATTGTGATGCGCCATATGGGAGGCGGAAACCGTGACTTAAAGCGCCGGCTGGTCTACTTTTAGCTACATGTCACAAAGATACGCGGAGGGAGTTCCTTTTGTTTTAATTCAAATATATTCAAAGCCGAATGGTTGATAAAAACTTGTAAATGCTTAATTCTTTACTATCAACTCATTAATGCAACATGCCCTTATAAGAATTTAGAAGGAAATATAGAAAATTATATCCACACATCTACTTTTAGGGTCACAGGTGAGCTAAATGCTCTAAATTTCTAAAATTATTTCCACGAAATACTTTGCCATCAATGTGTTCCGTCAATATGGTTGAACTGTCTGATGTTTCAGCTGAAGATGAAACTTTAACTCCGTAGCCCTGTAGAACATGATGATGACTGAGTGGTTGATTCCATCAGCATTTGACGACTAACATCAAGGAAAGTAACACACGTCAAGATTTCCCCCCGAGCTCTCAGCCAATTGCCGTCATTAAAAACGTGGTTCATCACCAGGATACAAACTGACAAAAATATATTTTAATGTTGCCAAACGACCCATACATTTATAGTACACGGACCACCCACAACATTTTGACATTTGAAAACACGTTCTCACAAATAATTCACATGAAAATAAAAAAACACGATGATCAACCTGCTGTTTAATTCATACTATTCTGCCGATGTCAAAACTGAACCATATTATTTCTGTTTTGATACAGCAGTTGAATCGGATCTGATCATCCAAGTGTGCGCAATATTTTGGCAGCAACTTCATAAGCTGACTGCGTTTGATCAGCAAGCCATAAAAACTCAAACCAGTTTTGGGTTATGACCCTAATTTTTGAAAACTGAGCGTTAATTTTGGACACACACACACACACACACACACACCTTTGGACAGACAACACAGGAAAAGGTCACTCAGCAGTGTCATGTGACATCAACCAAGGGGACAGGGTGAGAGTGATCCGGAAGAAGACTTCACTGGTGATTTGATCCAGAGGTGACATGCCCTTCGAAATATGACCTGTCTATTCCCTCATGTCACCCCAGTCACCCACCCAGTTGCCTGTCCGCTGCATGGACGCCTCCATTGATGCTGTCATGGGGAGGGACCTGCAGGAGACAATTTTCCTAAGAGGTCAGAGACCCCTAGGTGGCTCGCTCAAGCTCCCCGAAACACTTGCGCGAACGATACTCGAAGCAGATCCGTCTTCGATGAAACCGATGGAGCTGTTAAACCTTAAAACGTGCCGTAAAATTGGAGATATACGCGCCTGGCGTCCATCTCAATTCAACATGCTGTGAGTATGACATGCGAATCTTATTTTCAATAAAGCCTTCCCTTGATATGACCGATCTGCTATCCGGCATGCGTACGTCATCTGGGTCCGTGTGACCTGACACGTGTGCCCCAGCAATACAGAGAGCTCCCTTGAATTCTCACACAGGTTTAAAAATACCCACACGAGAGGAAATCCCCTCAACTGCAATGGACCTGCACTACAAAGACGCTGAAACAATGAGGCTCTCGCAACTAGGAATCCTCCTAGACAATATAGGAAGACTGAGGCATCAGAGAATTGTTTTTCCCGGACAGACTGTTGTGTCTAGAGGTGGAAACCTCTGACCACCACCGCTGACTCATGGAAACAAGTGAACGAATGAGAGGATGCACCGCACTGTGGGATAAACACACTTGCGTGTATCTGCTTACAGCTACAAAAGCCAAAAATTGTTGCTGTCACTTATTGTCAATGTTAAGGTTTGACCATGAATGTTATTAGTAAGTAAATTAGTAAGGTTTTTTTTTTTTTTTTTTTTTGACAGACTAATTTTGTTGACACACAGTAATTAAAGCATTGCAGTTCATTTTGTGCGGTAGTGCTACTCAAACCTACTCTTCAAGCTTGGATTGTGAAAGTTTTGCACAGAATGAGGATCCAATAAGGCAACACCTTCCGCTTGATTGACAGCCTTACAAAAGGCAATGGGGCAGTGATTTGTCAATGGGTACAAATCAACACAAAGAGGTATTGATTGGCAGGCGAGAAAAGAGAGCGCAGGACAAAGAGTGAGGCTGTGGGATCTCGGCCGAGTAATCAATACCGTGAGTTCTGCTTGAGGGAGCCATCCCACTTTGTGTTGATACAGTCACAGGCGCAGAAAAGATCCGCTATTGTACAGGCGCGCTGGGGCTGTCTGTCAGCACGCGGCCACACGGCAGGGGGGTTGACCCAGTATGCTGCACACAAATATACAGACGGTAACCGTGACGTGCACATCAAGTGTTCCCGGACACATCTGGGGTTGAGACAGCCAAGAGATCATCTCTTTGTTGACAATAAGTGTCAACAAAGAGATTTCGGCTGCTAAAATGACGATATTCTGACATTGATTGTTTTATAGTTATATATTGATGGATAGATTGATGATGATCAGTGCCAGTGCACAAATGAATCATTTTTGTAATTTGACTTCTCCCATGTACCTGCGTGGGATTTCTTCGGGTACTCTGTCTTTCTCCCACATTCCAAAAACATGCATGGCAGGCTGATTGAACACTCTAAATCAGTGTTTCTTAACCTGGGCTCGATCGAACCCCAGGGGTTCGGTGAGTCGGTCTCAGGGGTTTGACCGAGCCTCTGCCATGGAGGGTAAGACACACTCGACTCAATGTGTTAATTAGTTATGACACGCCCACTTGGCCATCACTGGCTGCAGATGATCACGTGACATTGCTTGTCCAATCAGAGCTGTGGGAAATTTAGTTCGCTTCATAGTCAACGTGTGATATTTTAAAAGACACACGCCATGTACAGTATTCTAATTTTATCGTAATCTGCGGGTTTATCAAATGAAGGCGAGCATGTAAATAAATATCTTACTCTTCAATAACATGGCAATTAGTTCACGAATCATGACTTACAACTCCATTGACTTAATAACATGCGTGGCTCAATGTTTTCAAGTCATCCACCTCCACTGCACACATCCAAAAAATCTGTGACAGGTGGATGTAACCGAGACTGCACCATGACTGAAAGGATGGGTAAAACCCCCATTTCTTTTCACTTTGACAGTTGTGTCATTCATAATTTTTTTTTTTTTTTTTTTTATTGCTGTCGTGTGGAGTGTGCAGACATACAACCGGACATTCATAGAAGGTGGGATTCCTGTTGTGAATGAGCTGAGACTGAGAAGAACGTGTGTGTGGGTGTGCGTGTGCGTATGTAATCACAGTATTCATCATGAGGCCCAGTCTCTTAAACCCTCGAGAGCAGACTATGACCAGAGATGAGGGCTTGTGCTGGAAGGGCGATCCATCCTGCAGAGATAAAAACCCAGGCGCAGACACCCACACATGGAACTGTTTACTTTCTCCAACCCCATTGTCAAACATCACTAAAAAGCGGTTTGAGCAGCACAGGCAACTGTTCACTCCTTATGAGTATTTTCAAAGAAAATGTTGAATGATGGTTTAGGAGATTTTCCATGAAATAAATTTGGTATCAAAACAACATTTTCAGGATGATATATTTTTCAATGGCGGCCTGGTGGCGAGTGGTTAACGCATCAGCCTCGCTCTCGAAATGATTATCAAACGAGTTGTCGATGATTTGATTAATTGTTAAATGGGCTGTCACTTAGACACAGTAGGTACTCAAAGCGCTTTGCAGTGTTTTGTCATTTAGTACCGACTGATGACGTGGCATCAGGAGCAACTGAGGGTTGAGTATCTTGCTCAAGCACACTTTGACAAGATCGCAACAGCCCGGGACTGAACACGTCCACTTTACCACTGAGCCATGGCGCCTCCAGACAATTTAAGTGTGTGTGTGTGTGTGTGTGTGTGTGTGTGTGTGTGTGTGTGTGTGTGTGTACCCAGCTGCATTCTTACCCATTCTTTTGGCCACATTTGTTTGGCGAGGGCCCATCCACTTATTGACACTTGTCTCCGGTGCCTCCCGCATGACAATCCGGGCAATGAAACCACAAGTAGGGCACACACTGTTCTACAGTTGCTACAAGAACAACATGAGGAGAGACAAAGAGTGTTTACCTTCCCAGGGTATGAAAAAGAAAAAGTAGCGGGAAGAAGAAAGAAAGAAAGGAAAAAAGCAGGACTCATTGAATAACTGGCACATGCAATGTGTCCAATTTCAAAATACACATTTTGCGTCGATGAACTTTTCGTTATAATCCTTGGGAGAAGATGGTTAACTCCAACTGCATTAGATATGAATACACTTATTGGATGTATTTTGATTCTACGTGAATTATGTGCCATACTAGTGTCCATATATCATAATACTTAACAGTCTTGGTCACTTTCACCAGAACAACTGTCATGATCCTACCTGGTGTCTGGGTTTTTTTTTTCCCAGGTTGCTGTAATGGTTGGGCGGAGCCTCTTGTGCGCACCTTGCCTGCCTTGCCATCGGCTGGGCAATTAAGCTCAGGAGTTTCTGGGGACAGATGCCGGGCTATTATTCTACTCACCACCAGTTCCCTTGTTCCTGTTTTTCTAGTTGTGTAATAATCTGGTCGTTGTCTTCGTCGCTTCTCGGCCGTGTGTAAGTAGTTTATTTTTGTGTTGTTCCTTGTGCAATTGTTTCAGCCTGTCCTGTCGGTGTGCAAACTTGTGTCGGTTAACTTGCGTTCTTTTCTTTTAGTTTGAAGTACCCAGGGCTGGATTGGCCGTCGGGCATAGCAGGTAGACGTCCGGTGGGCAGCCGTCTTCAGGGGCTTTTTTTTCTGATATTTTTCCCCCAAGAGCACAGCCCACAAACCAGAGAAAGCAGCTCGTTAAGCCATTGACAAAATGAACAGTAAATTGAATTAATTAATACCATTAGGGTCGGCCCGGTGGTCCAGTTGTTAGCACGTCGACCTCACAGTGCAGAGGTACCGGGTTCGATTCCAGCTCCGGCCTCCCTGTATGGAGTTTGCTTGTTCTCCCCGGGCCTGAGTGGGTTTTCTCCGGGTACTCCGGTTTCCTCCCACATCCCAAAAACATGCATGGCGGGGCTGATTGAACACTCTAAATTGTCTCAAAGTGTGAATGTGAGCGTGAACGGTTGTTCGTCTCTGTATGCCCTGTGATTGGCTGGCAACCGGTTCAGGGTGTCCACCCGCCTACTGCCCGAAGCACACTTTACAGCAAAAATTGATAGCAGTGATATGTTATCAAAATGCATTGCTTTCGACAAAAAGCAAATGCAGAATAAAGGCAAAAAAAAAAAAAAAAGTGGTTTGAAGTGACATGTGCGGACATGGGAAGGAAAGGAAGAAGCAGGGAGATGAAAAGGTTGGATGGAACCGCATCCAAACATGGTCACATCTGCTTGAAAGATTTTCCCAAACGTCCACACATGGACACACATGCGCACACAAAGGAGAGTCTATGAGATGGGGCCAGTCACCAGGACATCCTGTTTGAGAGTCAATGCTCACCCGCAATTCACCCTCGCCCTCCACCCACAGTGCTAAAGAGACAGTGCAGCTGTCACCACCTGATTTAGACGGGATGACAAGGCCTTGGTTCTCTCATCTGGCTCTTCAGGAAAGCACTGTTTTATTACACTTCACAGATGTGACAGAATTTTATCTGCCAAACATAACACTTTCACCCCCCTTTACCGTCTGATTTGGATGGTGGGAAACACGATTTGGATCGTCCATTCCAGATACCCCCAAAAAATACTAAATCCCCCATCGACAGGTTGCACATGCTGATTTTTTTTCAGTTGCAAGATTAGGAAATTAGGGTACCCGGGCAGCCAAATCGGGCGCACCCTAGATCCGTGTAATGATACTGTTCTCAAATTAGTACATGAATGGACTTCCATAGACATTTGATAGTCCTCCTGCAAGTGTAACGAAATCCTCTGCGTTTTGAATCCAAGCAGGCTCCAGCTGCCACGTCCGATGCCTTCAGGGAGTGCTTGATACTGACATGGCTTTATAGGTGTGGCCAGAACCCGGGCTGGATTAACCAAGCAAGCTGAGAAGGCATCTCGCCCACAGGCCCGTCATAGCCTCTGGCTTGCACCTCTTCACATTGGCTACATTATATCCTTCTTGAGCCTGCATTTTCTTTTCTTTGGGGAGAACGTGTGTCACGTGGCGTACGCTGACTCAGACAAAACACCAGACGGCTTTAGCCACAAATGCGATGAGAAGCTGGTTTTGCGTCACATGTCTGACATAAGACATGCATATTCTCCTCCTGAAAACAGACACACAGGCACATGTGCATCTTAACTGGCACAAACCAGATGTAGACAGTGGCAAAATGAGAAAACAGTTGCATCAGGTACATTTTTCTCAACGTCTTCACTATCATTTGTCTTCTGGGGAGGATTTTTGTAAACTTGAATATCTCCCACAGATTCTTTAACTGTATTTTAGCAGAATATGTACATGAATATGTATATGTATAGTAGGTATTTTCAGTTTTTGCTTTTTTTTTTGTCTGATATAAAATAAATCCATCCATTCATCCATTTTCCGATCTGCTTATCCTCACAAGGGTAAAGGGGGGTGGGGGGTGGGGTGCTGAAGCCTATCCCAGCTGTCTTCGGGCAGTAGGCAGGGCCACCCTGAACCGGTTGCAAGCCAATCAATCGCAGGGCACACAGAGACGAACAACCATCCGCGCTCACACTCACACCGAGGGACAATTTAGAGTATTCAATCAGCCTGCCATGCATGTTCATTCAAAATTCAAAATTGTCCCGAGGTTTGAGTGTGAGTGCGAATGGTTGTTCGTGTACCCGGCCTACTGCCCGAAGACAGCTGGGAAAGCCTCCAGGATCCCTGTGACCCTCGGGAGGATAATCGTTTCTGATAATGGTGGATGGATGGATGGATGGATGGATGGATGGATGGATGGATGGATGGATGGATGGATGGATGGATGGATGGATGGATGGATGGATGAATGATTCTGTTAATTTTTGTGTGCTTGGCAGGTCTGTTTGTGTATTGGCTGGTTTTCTCCCGGCAGGTCGGGCAGGTGGGCGTGGCAGACTTCTGGCAACTGAAGATGCACGCTAGGTTGCAATCTGATCATCAGCCTCTCCACAAAAAGAGTGGTCTGCACCCAGCATGTTTAATTATTAGCTTGACAATTTTTGAAAATGAAAATGACTGCATAGCAGCTGCAAACTAAACTGCACTGCTTTTTGGAAGCGTACTAAACTGCTGCCGGGCACAAAAAAAAAAAACAAAAAAAAAAAAACGAGATATTTTCATGCCTTTTAAGGGTTTTCATTTCTTTTCAGGGTTGTGCCACATCGACAGAGATTTTTTTTTCCCATTATGGTGGAGGTCTGCAGTCTACTGGGTGCCATTTTAGCAATACATGCTTATACAATACGATCTTGGTTCCTCATTAAAAAAAATATTTTAACTGGTGTTCAAACTCTGAGGTCATGACTTCATCATAGTTAAAAGCTGTTTAATTTTCACATTGCCAACTTGGGAGTGCCTTTAGTCAAGCATTTATCGCCGGGACTTCCCGCTGTAGCGATCTAGAACTAAAATAGAATAACAGCTGCCCCGTACTGCATGATAGGCAAGGATGCCCCCTCGATAGATAAATACATAAATCAAACATGCAGAGGTTCTTTCAAAGCCACCTGGGAGTCTCCAAAATGACCGGTGCCAGGGGGGAACTTTGGACTTTCTTTCCTGGAATCTTCATTCGCTGCAAAAGGCCGCGGGCCCCCGTGCGCTGAAAGTGGAGAAGCTGCTGAAAAGCCAAACTTGACCTCAGACACACGCCTTGTAACCAACTGGCGAGGAAAGACTGGAGCCCAAGTGACCCACGGACCGTGTGATACTTGATCAAGGTTGATGCGACAGGCCACCCGGGATAACCTCCACGTTCCACGTTGTCGGGCTAGAAATACAAAGACGGACAGGAAATGTGAAGTGACGAAGATGAAGTTCCCTCGCCGAGTGTTGCCTGCAAACATGTCACACACAAGGAGAGGAATCGAGTTGTGCTTTCCTGAGCTTCAACAGCTTTTTAACATGTCACCACCCCAGCCCTCCACACCCCGTCTGTCTGTCTCCTTTTCCATATCCGCCTCTGACCCCCTCTGCTTCTCAAGAAAACAGGTGCAAAGAAGACTATCCAGACCCCCCCCCCCCACACACACACACACACACACACACACACACACTGACATTCGCACACATTTCCCTCATCAGGCCTGCATCCTGCCCTGCCCTTTTCAAATCGGAACATGCTGCCAAAGCGCATGACAAATTGATTTCAATTGTCGGCCTGCAGCGTCTTCATATTAAGAAGCAAATATGGCATTTCGTTTGATGGGGCAACAAGGGCACTGTTGCTAAATTACTTTTCACAACCAAGTTGAACTACGTGCATTTGGGATGTGATCATGGTGAAGCAAAGACAAATTATCCCACCACAACTCTCGCTTTTTGTCATATACTGAATGAAGCAAATTTTGTAGATGTGCTGGTTGTTCATCATGCTCATGCCGCAGGGGGAAAGTTGTAGTTTAGGTTTGAAATGTTGGAGCTGGCACCGAGTCCTGGGGCTTTTTTGACACACACGCACACGCGCGCGCGCACACACACACACACACACACACACAGATATGTATGTCAATGCATACATAGAAATAGACAGAAATTATGCACGTAAAAATGGGGCTGCAGCTATGGATAGTTATTAATTATGAGAAGACACCCATCAGTCCCGTGGGCTAGTTCAATGTGAAGTGACTCCCACAGAGGGTGCAGGCGCAGGGGTTAACCGAATGAGATTATCAGCGGTCGTGCAGGAAATTTCTCTTGATTTGTCCTGAAATTATTAGTTTTTAATTCCAAAGATATCTTTGTTCATCTCCAGAATCTGTGTCAGCAGTGATGAAGGCGGAACAATTAAATGTTCTTCCATTATCTGAGAGGAGGTCAGAAGGTAAACTTAAACCAGTGTATCCACCTGTTGGAATTCATGCAACCGAATACCTTGAGGCTTTTTTTGCAAGCGCGTCAACTTTTTTGTTCAATTAAATAGGCCAGGATTTCACACTGAGTACATTTATGAGTAAATCGATCAGGGATCATCATTAATTTAGTCCGTGGGTCTACTTGTACTTTTTGGTGACATTGTTTATTGGTGTGTGGTGATTTTTTTTTTCTTATGTAAAATAGAATGCCTTGCAAAAAAAAAAAAAAACTCGGGAAGCACAAACACTATAGGGCGTGAGAGAGATGCGTGCACTTGTCATTGTAGCAGCACAACTTGCATACGAAAAGCACTCAAGTGCTGGCTGTAAACACCGCCACGTCTATACAACAATGCCAATTGTAAATTTGGAGGGAGATTTGATGGTGAACACTTGGCGGCAACGTGTTGCGCGCGTTCGGCCCATTGAGTCGCTAATGAGAGTGATAGATTGTGGCTCCTCTGACGACCCCGACCCCCTCAATAGCCACTGCTCCCGTGGGATTTGACGGCCACATCCCCGAGGGACATGCAACCCTCCCCAGGAATCCTTTTCATCATCGGGCAAGGGGATTTTCCCGCTCGTTTTCATTCATTCCTCCCGTGAAATCAAATCTGGACCGGAGTCAAATGATTTCATGAAACGAGAGCCAGTCGACTGTTTAAGTGCTCGCTCGCACTAATGTCGATAAAAATAGACTCACTCGACTCGTTTTAACAGTTGACTCCTGGATAAACACTTCTAGCCACCCGAGTTTTTTTTTTTTAAAGTTATTCATTTCCACCGGACCGTGAGGCTCACTTGCGGGCGTCCGCCTCCACACCTCAGTCGAAGTGGCAGCGCTCGCGGCCTGCGGGCGGGGATTTAATGGCTGGCTCCTTGCCCGACCACAGGCGGACTAGTTCGTTCCGTTCTCACGACCTCAGCTCCTCAAAGGCATCGCTGAACTCTTGACTCAGACGCGCAGGCAGTCAGAAAAACCGCAAAGGCTACACGCGCTGCCAACTGCTGTTTAAGTGTGGTTCCTTTCAAAGGAGACGTTCAATGTGTCGTTTAGACACGGTGTCATCTTCAGGGCATTTAGACCGGATGAGGAAAAATTAAACTCACACGCAGAGACAAACAACTGTTAAAAACTACGAAATTTAATAACTAATTTACAGAAATTCCACGCGAACTAAATCATGGTTCGCAAAAGCTGGTTTCAAATCAAAATTCTCGCTCACGCATCATGCACGGCCATAAAAGCGGAGCTGCTGTAACTTGATCCCAAAAGCAGCGGCGGCTGCGGGGGTCTTCGTGGCTGCAAGTCACTGGTGGCTGACACACGGCAAGCACCACGCCACCAGCCCACCACACATAAATATATCCCGGATTTGGAGCCCACTTTACTGAAGGGAGGGGTTACGTTTATACTCAAGGAAGATGGGAGTTGACATTAAAATGGGGTTGTGTAAACGAGGGATGGCGAAACACCGGGGCTATAGCCCCAGTTAAATCACTTTAGCATTTTATTTGATATTCTAAAATATGTTTATTAGGGTAGTTCCAGAATCGGAGGTCATTTTACATCCCATTCATCAAATTTAAAATCACTTACCATGACAGAAGTAGAGGAAAGCAGTGAAACACATGATCCAGTTTTCTAAAAGAATGGATTTCCTCTCTACTATTTTTTTTTGAATATTTTTTATAACGCCTTGATTGAATGTCTCACTCTACCTCATGTGTGTACCTTATGATCAGAAAAGGACATATTTTTTTGGTCTTTATTCATTTACATAAGTAAGTTTGTGCTCTTGGTTTAGCTAGCTAAACAGCTCTGAGAAAAAGCTAACATTCGTCGGGATTCGCAAACCCGTTACCTGCAAGCCCCTTTGCTCTGCTTGCTGTGAGTTGGACCCAATTGAACAAAGTTGCACTCGTTTACTCAGACTTTAGAAATATTATTATTATTATTATGGATAAATGGGGCAAAAAAAAACTAAATACTGTAGTAAAGTTTTATTTTTCAAGAATTTTGAAGCCCAAATGTGGTTATTCCAATTCTGGGCAGACCGATAAATTATTTTCTCAGCCCCACTGTGTATCAGTTAAGACCCCCTTTATGCCTGGGGGTGAAAAATCCTGGAATCACCCCTGGTGTAAATGTCAGATTCTAGTCAGATTTGAGCATTTTATGCAGCTGCTTGGCCAAATTCCTTCGTTTTCCCGAGTCAAGTTTAGTTTGCAGGCCCATTGGACGGGAGTGGATTTGAACAATTGACAGACAAAAGGATGAAAGGATCCCTCCATATTCTTCTTTTCACAGGGCCAATCTGTTGGTGACATTAACCTCTGAGCACTTTTCCCCGTCTTATGAATAGACTCGGCGAGCTCCCACTGCATATTGAATGAGACCCGCTTTGGAACTTTTAATGACAGTACCTTTAAAACATGAGTGAGACAGAAGTAAAAAAAAAACAAAAATCCATTCCTTTGTCTCACTTACAGCCAGGTGTGAAAAAAATCCCCCCAAGACTGAACATCTGCCAGTTCAAATTACACACAAGTCAAAATTCATACAGAAAAAAATGTATCTTGGAATTTTCACTTTTAGACAGGTCTATAAGTCAGTGAGTGTGTAAGCTTCTAACATGCCGATTAAGGAGATTGACAGCGGTATAAAAATGGACTTCACACCAATCCTGAGTTTTTCAACATTATTTATTCAAACACTGGAAGAACACCAGTCTTTTTTTCTTTAACAAACAGAAAAACAATATAAAACAGCTTTGGTATAGCAATCAAGAACAACTCTGTACAAAACTAAACCTTTTTATAAAAAGTACTTTATAGCAAAAATCCTACAAATCAACACCTCTTCACATACAGGTTTTCATCACCAACTTCCAACTGGAACTGGTCATAAATGATAACGTTCCATCCAAGGCTTCTGTTCCATAAAACGAAACAAAAAAAAAGTGCCACGTGAACTTTTTCAGGGTGGCACAACAGAAAAGTCACAGGTTAGATCCTCGTAACAGCTGCAGGTCTGAACTCAAACGTTTAACAGTGGCAGTCCCACATTTCCATATTAGCGTTCCCTCGCTGGCTTTCGGTGGCAAGTGAGGCGCTCGCTACCAAGGCCGCCACACGGGCTCGCCACTGTCCGGACCAGGACTCACTCCTACTGGGCTTCCCGACTGCGATCCGCCGGAGAAGGAAGTCATGCCGTGTACCGGCGAAGCCGCGGTGCCTGCCGAAGGCCCGTTGACCGCCAAGGGCAGCCCGGCGTTTGCATACAGAGGGATCATCGGGGCTGTGGCCGCAGCAAAAGCTGGGTTGTGAATCAAGAAAGCAAACTGTCCATCAGACGCCGGAACGAGTTGGAAGCCACCGAACACCTTGGGGGAAGCCGCCTCGGCCGGGCTGACTTTGGAGGCCATGGCGGTGCCGGGGCTGATGGGAAGAGTGGAGGGTAGTTGGACGTGCAGGGGTTGGGCGATGTGAGCTTGCTGGGACGAGGTCTGCTGCGAGTAGTTGATGGCCATCATCTGGCTCATGCAGCCGGACAGGTGAGTGAGCAGCCTTGACCTCACCTCCACGTTCACGCCCTCCGAAGTGGACAAGAAGCGCGTGACTTCATTCATGCACTCGTTGAATCCGGCTCTGTACTTGCTCAGCACGGTGGCGTCAGGTGAGAGAGCAGCTGCTGGAGAAGAGGGGAGGAGGAACACTGATGTTAGAGATGCCTTCTCACTGTTCAGTGTTCGCTGACTCATTTTAAATGCCACTGGATCACAATGAACTTTTTAACGTGACACAATGCCCGCACTTCTGTGGAGGAAACGATCCAGTTTCATTTAAAAAGGTTGTAAAATGATTTCCTCTCAATAATGTTTCATATATGCCAGTGATGTAGAGAGACAGTTAGGAACAAAAAGGTTTCTTGGGTAGTGGATTTGATTTTTCTTTCCCTTTCGTTCTTCCATTTCTTTGGTGAACTCATTTTACCATTGGTGCTATTAATTGTTTTATTATGTTACCATCCACGATTTAGGTATCTATGTTACTTATTTTTTACATCGGCCATAATTTGGAATCATATCCTGCAAGAAACGACATAGAAGCTAACTGGAACAATAATGATGAGAAGGGGTGTGGGGGGGAGGGGGCGGGGGTGTCAACATAATTTTCTTCTTCCCACTCCTTTTCAAGAATTATTCTTTATAATAATTGTATGTGAAACACTTTATTACAATATGAAATAAACGATGTAATTGTTTATCTCTGTGTTTTATTATAAAATTCTATTTCCTGAAATAAATGCTCATTAAAAAAAAGCTCTTCCACTACCATCACATAAAAGGCGAAACATTATTTCATTATGCAGTATGTTTGTGTGAATTTGGTGTGCTGTGACTGATCGCTCATGTAAAAATGTGGCTCACTAAAAGTAGAGGAAAAACTCAACTGACCACTCATCTGGATCCGCTGCAGGTTCCTCAAGTGCTTCACTGTCATCTCCAGGATGTCTGCCTTCTCCAGCTTGGAGTGTCTGGAGCTCTGGTGAGAATGCAGGTCAAGTTTTATTACAGTCCCATGTAGTAGCGATTCTTTGTTTTTGTATCAAATGACCCACATAAGATTTCAGGGTGAAAATGCCAAAGTCGACTTACATCTTTCTTTAGTGCGTCTAGGATGAGTGTCTTAAGCTGACCCAGGCTTTCGTTGATTCTTGCCCTCCGTCTTTTTTCCATGATGGGCTTGGATGACTGCAAAGGAATGAAAATAGAGACATTATTTAGTCAATTATTTATGTTCGAGAAAGCGCGGCAATATTGTAGATCATAAGTGTAATTTACATTCGGCGTTACTTACCTTTCTGTGCTCGCTGGCATTTTTGGGTTTGTCCGGGGTGTGTGAGCCGTTTGCGGGGGAACCAGCCATCGGGGACCCGGTCTGCTTCTCCATGGTGTCAGCAGGCATCGTTAATCAGTTATGAGAAATGAGTTAGGTCGATAAATCCTGCAAGAATCAGATGTTGACGAAAGGTCTTCTTGTTTTAACGACGTTCGTCCACCGAACAGCTTTCTTAAAGGAAAAAAAAGGAGGGAGGGAGAAAAAGTGTCCTCCCGTCGTCAGTATTGTATCACCGGCAAAACGCGAGTGGCAGCGTCTCGATTCTGCAGCCGACACGCGCCACGGATGAACTTATACCAGCGCGCGTGCTCCCACATCGTGTGAACGCTTCTCTGCATTCTTTCCCACACTCGCCTCAGCCAATGGTAGCACCGTCCCGCCAAGTGGGCGCGAGCCCAGACGCTGATTGGCCAACACCCCCGCGAGCCGTCAGTCACGCGCTGCTCAATCAACCCGCCGGGAAGAACAACAAAGCCGGCCGCTCGGCCGGCTGGGTCGGGTGCCGGTGAAAAGCGGGGGAATGCGCTTGGATGTTTGCTTCCAATTTTAGTCGGTGCTCGTGAAAAAAAAAGACTAAATGTCGTCTGTTTCACTAACACAACCTAGTAGATATCTTTTTATTCTTGACATGTTTTCACTGTTGTCAACTTCCTGGCGGTAGAACACTGAATATAAGTAAACATGAGCGAGATTTAGGTTTAAATAAACTTCTATTTTTATGACAGCTTCCGGACGTGCGCCGCCTGCGGGATCGTGGCACGCGAGGGACTTTTTGCCGGAGCATGCAGTCAGCCAATGGCGCGCGCCTGCTTTATGCAAATAAAACGCTTCGTTCTCCGATTGGCTGCCTAAGCGGCTCCGTGTCAATCATTTCGACGCGGGAGCAGCTCAGACCGCCAGCAAGCGGGGTGGAGCGGTGGGTCACATCTTTCCGCGTGCCAATAATGTCAGATTAAAATCTGCTCCTCAGACCTCACAAGACTCTACACATATAATAAATAAAATAATGAATGATGCACTGTATACAACAGGGTGTGTTAAATGTAACTCTACACACATTCGCTTTTAGTTATACCCAAGTGTAGAAATGTACGAGAAAGACACGATGAAAGTAGGTAAAGTTGAATGACTTGCTGCTCTGACATGAATTTTCCTCAATTTTTGAATAAAATCTATCTATCTATCTATCTATCTATCTATCTATCTATCTATCTATCTATCTATCTATCTATCTATCTATCTATCTATCTATCGGACTGTAGGTCTGTCCATATGATATGAGAACCCCTTTACACAAGTCCAACGGCCATCCAGGACTTGACAATGGAAAAGGTCGCCACCTGGCGTTCATTTCGTAAACCTGATCTCGCATCTCAATCAATATAGCACCTTATGTCCGACCTAGATCAGTACAGTACTTAGGTCTGAAGATGAGGTGGTCGCTGGTTTAAAAAAACGATCAACTGCACGCTGGATATACTCCGGTATATGATCAAACGTCAGATCTTATTTTATAATACGTTGTTCATTTCAACACACGTGTTCGTGTCGTGCGTGTGTGTAAGCACTTGGATGTGTGTGTGCATATATTATTTCATGTTAACCACAAAGAGAAGAAGCATCTGTATTCTATATAAGCATGAAGCGGGCAGGTATTTGAACATTGAGTATCGTAAATGTTACAGCGACACCCGATTCCAATCGGCTCCTTTTACCCCCTTTAGCAAGTCAAACGACTTGCGCACGATCGCCAACCTGCACAGGTGTCAAACGTAAAGCAGGTCACAGAGGCGTTTTGATTTGCATTATGCATAAAACAATGGGAAAAAAATGATATTGATGTAACGGAGCCATAAATCCATTGGCCATAGAACAACAGATTTTTTTCGAGCATATGTTACATAATATCGAGCATTAAACGGTCAAATCAAAGCACTACAGCAGAGTTGAGACACGTATTTTTTATTTGAGTTTTTGTCAAAAGACCGCAGCAGGTGGACAGTACACAGGTGGTTGTTCTTACTGTTTCACTCTGTTCCGTTCTCACTGACCATACAGAGCGGGAAGGTTCAAGCATCTTGCTTACTTAAATTTTATTGGCATAACTCTTTGAGTACAAGTACGTAACTCAGTCTCGTAACATCGGAGAGAACACATATACGTCACTTCCTGTTTTCCTCACCCAAAGCTGTCCCACTAGCAACATCAACTCAATCTAACAATATTATGGTGACACTTACAGCCCAAACATTTAACCACAAATTGAATAAATAACGAAATAAATCACAACATGACGAGTAGCAGAAACAGAAGAATAGATTCCCATGTTAAATCAGAGGATATTCTCCAACAAAAGGAGAATTACGGAGTCTGAGAAGGCGTAGATGTCGGAGTAATCTTATGACAATCTTATGACCGATGACAAATTATGTGATCCTCTTTTGGTCCGCAGTCTATTGAAAGGGGGTAAATGTAATAAAATTTTGCTAAGCCCCGCTGCAGTGGAGTGTGGAAGCCATTGTTGGGTGGTTCGTGTGCCCCCAAGGCTGAGCTGTGCTGAGGCATGCCGGACACTTGTTTACCCAGGATCCCGAGTCTCAAGGGCCAGCTGTGTGTGCTTTGACTTACTTTGTACGTTTGCTTTATTTGCTCTTGGATTGGCCCCAAATGATGCAGATCTAATTCTACAGAGCTCCGCAAATATTACACAACTGTCCAACCCCACACCGGAGTTAACAGGCTTTGGGGTAGAATAATTTTGTCGAGGTGGAGTCACACCTGTTGAACTCGAACAAGTCGGACCACTCTTACTATTTCAAACCATATCCGCCCCTTCTTCACTTATGCATATCAAAGGGTCCACCGGCGGAGGCAACAAAGACTGGAGGAGTTCTCATTCAAGGACAAGCACACTTTTGGAGTGACTCTTGTCATTAGAACATCATGAAAGCTGATATTCCGACATGGCTTTGCTGAGGAATGTAGAGAATAGAAATTCCGCCGGGAAAAGAGCCAAAAGTACTTACTTTTTGACTCAGTCTTTCAAGCTATAGAGGGGATATCTGGGGAGATGAAAAGCCCCACATAGCGGGGAGAAGCAGTGTTTGCAGATTTAGCAGACTTCAGCGGTCTGTTGTCCCGAGCCGCTCTGCGCTCAGCAACTCCTTTTCACTGCTGTCTGCTTAATTTGTTCTTACAGAATGAGCCCATGTACCTCTTGGAATCCATGTGCAGAATGCAGAAAGGGAGTCAATTCAACCTGTGTTAGCATGGTGTCATCTGGCCAATCTTTGTACACAGTCCCCAATTAGGAGCTCACTGATGTTTCCAACAACCAATGCAGTTAATGCTCCTTTTGGTTGTCTGTGAATACTGTGGAAATTTTATTCGGACCAAGTAGCAAATCAGGTTATAAAAATATCACCTTGTTGAGTAAACCTAATGAATCAATTCAACCTGCCTCCCACCTCCAGGTATCACTCAACACAAAACATTCCTCACAAAGAAGAGCCTGTGACAGGTGACTACCTGACAGTGGGTGAAAAAAAAAACATGTATTCCAAATCACAACAAGTTTGTCGAGCACACTCATTTGACACTTCAACAAGAATGGCCACATACTCAAACATAATGCCTCTCAGTTAGTGGCTCCGCGAGTGGTGTGCACACTATCACAGTCGTGATCGTGTGAGAAGAAGAGATAGATTGGGTCATTTGGTACCGGGCTGCACAGAAAGAATAAACAATTTACATTACTTCCGTTTTATTTATTTCGGAATCTGAAATATGTTTTATTTTGAAAAATGACCGGATTCTCTGTTACATTCGTTTACAGTGTGTCACCTTTGATGCGCTTCTCGGTCACGTGATAGGCTACCGCTAAAATGAAACGCAGGATCTAGCAAAATGAGTCAAAAAACAAACGCCTTTGGGAAGTTTCTTTGGGAAGGCGAAAAGGCCCAGCCAGGAGACGGAAACGGGGCCTACTACTTTCAAGGAAAAGAAGGCTACATTTAATTGACAGTATCAGAAGTCCTACTTCAAAAACGGATTTATCTCAACGGGAGATTCCCACGCACCAAGGCCACTCTGCATAATATGCGGCGATGGTGAGTGCTATTTTTCGTTCACTTTGTATTTGCGTTGTATCTTATTTTGAAGGCATGTTTAAACGTTACCATAGCGACCAGAGATAACCTAGCACACGGCTAACACATTTAACACCGGAATTACTTGCTTGGGTGATTGAGTACATTTTTTCACCGATGTCTGGCTGGGGCTGCGTCAAAGTGGTACGTAGCCAACTTGGCGCAGGAAAATCGCAGGCAAATGAATAAATGTGTGGACTGTGGACAGAAAATACTCGTAAAACTACGGTAAATCGGAAACTGGAAATGAATTACAGTCCGTGCATGCCCTTTAAGGTCAAAAGGATCTTAGTTTAAAATATTTATAAAATATATTATAAATCAATCATGTTATTTGCCTGATTTTGTCAGTAAAATGCCTTGTAAGTGAGCAGAACCATGTACTGGGTAGTGTGAGGTGCATAAGGGTCGTGTTTGTGGTGAACTGCTATGTGAGGTTCACTTATTTCCTGCCTCTTAAAAGTCTCATTCAAGGTTATTTGTGCCATGAGTTGCTGATCTGTGCCCAGGAGTAAGGAGACACCTGCGTCTGCTGCAGTGGCACTTAAGGAATCAGCAGGCTGGAACACAGCACTGCTTTGAGAAACCTATTCAAATATATTATTCAAGAGAAAAATGAAGGCAAACAAATGTATTAAAACATAAAATTACGGGCTGAGTAAAACCCGTCAACCCGTTGACAAAAGATGAAGCGAATTATCCCAGGGCAACAGGTGAATTATTATTTGCGTTGCTGCGACAGGGATTTGTTAAATTTGGGCTGCGTTAGTCAACATTGGTGTTTAAACAGCAAGTTTTCTCTCATTTGACGTGAAGCCAAAGTTTCTTCTCAAAGATCAGACTTGAAGAATGTGGGAATGTTTTAGTGAGGAATCATAAATGACTCTCTCAGATGTTTTTATATGTGCAAAAAGATGGGGAAGGTAAAAAAAAAAAAAAATCCTGTGATCAATTTATTTGCCTCACTTTTCAGAAAGGCTTCTTGTCATTTTGCCATCTGCAGACCAGCATGCGCTGTACAATGTGATGTATTCACACAGCCCCTTTGGCTTTCTGAATACCGAGAGAGAGAGCCTTTTCTCTTGCTTCTCGCCCCAATTCAAGTCTTTCTTCTCCCTTTTAAGTAGGCTGTTGATGAGGT